TTTCCTTGAGACTGGAAACCAGAATACAGTGCTTTCATAATGGAAAGTTTAGCTGAGTGCAAGCTGCATTTTCAGAAGTTGGTATCATTGCCTCAGCTATTTGTGAGCTCTGTATTCACTGGCTTTGTCTGCCAGCCTTCACCAGACAACAAAGCAAGAATTTACCAAATTATATGGTGGTTATTTTGCACAGAGCAAAACCCACAACAGTGAAAACTATTCCAAAGCAGGCAGTGCAAGCTCAGAGAAAATGTGCATTGCATGAAGCACTGCTGCAGGGTTTGCCCTTCCCCACGTCTCAGCAGCAAAGCAGCACTGGTGCCCAGTGATACCCTCCTTGAGGCAGGGTCTGCTTCCCAAACATTCACCATCCTGCTGCTCACACTAACAGCAGCAGGATGCATTCCGCCAGCACTGAGATATGATGTCTTGTTCCTATTCCCACAGATCACCTCATCCCCACTGTGTGTACGTGACACCCCAAGACTGTCACCTGTCCTGGCTAAGCTGGTATGCCCCATGATCAACATCTCTGCTCTTCATATCCAACCAGCACCAGAGGAATGGGAGAGGGCTTCTGCAGAGCCAGAGCTGGCCAGAATCTGAAAGTCCATCTTTGTGCTGGTACAGAAGCCAGAAGCCCACACACAGGCCTGTTCTGCCCTTATCCTCTAGAAGGACACAGATGAGGCAGCATTTACTAAGCACACCACACATACTGGTAGAAACGAGGACAAGGACAGGGCAGCTCTGCCTGCAGCAGTGCTGGAGCAGGGCAGAAGCAGCACACATGAACACTGAGTGCTTCCTCCTGCCTATTTCCATCCAGAAAGACACCAGGTTTCTTGGTATCACCACCCTGATGCCATCTTTTGGGGATGACATTGCTGGGAAAATGCTAAGGACAAGGGCTACCACAGGTGCATAGCTCAGACCAATACTCTCCCTGCAGCCAAGTAAGCAGCTGGGGCTGGAGGAGCACCAAAAATCCTTTGATTTAGACAAGCTGTGGATCTTGAGATTCTGGCAGCCTTATTTCAGGAATGTGCATTGCATGTGAGGTACCTCAGCAGTGCTGGAATGTCACCTGCTGCACACAGCAAGCCAGCCCCACTCTCACACCCTACCCTTCCTCAGCTTCCCACTCTTTCTAGCCACCTACCCCTGCTTCCACCCTACATTTCCCCACTCCAAGCCTCAAACCAAGACATGCTCACCTTCACTCAGCCTCTGTTCCTTGTATTATCAAAGATCTTGATTGTCTTCCACAAAAAGAGGCTCCCATTCCATTCTGGCAAACAGGCTGCAGTCAAAAGCAGCCAAGAACAGATTTACTCACCATTGAGCTTCTGAATACAGGCAGAGATTCTGAGCAAGATTAAGGAAATGCTGATTTGCACTTGGGGTTTTCCCAAGCTTCAGCTGATGTAGCCAGCACCAATGTTTGCAGCCACAGCTAAGTTTAGCAGGACAACAGTGAAGTCAAGCAGTTCTCAAAGAGCCACACCAGGCTCTTGGTTGTTCTCACCTACAAGACTGAACTGTTAGCAAGGGAAGATGAGAAGACAGGACATGTGCTTTAAGCTTGCCATGGGACCAGGCATGACCCTCACAAGTAGGGCATCAAGCACCACTAAAAGGGGCACACCAGGAGCACAGCAGTTTGCCCTCCATAGTTATTCTTCAATATTTCCTAGAATGTGTATGTGCAGAGATGAGAAAGGAGATACATACTACTTATACCCTCAGTGCAACCTCCTGCATGCTGCAGTGCACCCATAGCACAGCCATGAGGCACAAAGCACCCAAGGAGAAAACACATCTAACAGCTGAAGCCTGAGCTCTCACAAAGCATCCCAGCCCATCCAGCAAACTGCACAATGCCCTTGGAAGAGCTGGGGATCAGATGGTGGCTGCTGCAGTGGTCTTGGAACAGGAAAGAAAGTAATTGGTGACAGATCTAGCCTGCAGGAATGCTCTCCATATGGTTTGCTGCAGCTGGAAATGCACACCCAGGGTAAGCCCTCCATGCTCAAAACCACACAGAACCCGAGTAGTTGTGTGCTTTCATTAGTGTGAAAATATCCAATGGAGCTAAAAAAAAAAAATCTAGTATCACTGAATTGGCCTGCATAATCTCACAGTGAAGTCATGGAACAGCCACCCCACAGCCACAGATTCCCAGACAGGAATGTTGCCTTCTGAAAGCAGTGCTTCCAGCATAAACACTGCATGCTCAAGACAGCAAGCAATCATCTTGTAGCTCCTTACCCAGTAGAGCCCTGTCTTGTACCAGAAACTCTGAAGAGATGGAGCCTCCATTCCAGTCCCTTTGTGTTTTTTTATATTAGGGCAAGGAGTTCATACTGTAGCATCCAACGTTAACAAGAACCAGCCCCCTTACTTTTGGCAGACATTTTTCAATGATCTGCATGAGAAGGAATTGCCAACATCCTGAATATAAATCAGTATCGAAAGGCACAAAGAATTCAGTACCACAGATGCTCTACAAGCAGATCTGGCAACTGACAAAGCAGCCCCATGCAGCAGATCAACCCAAGAAACAGGGGAAGCAAGCAGATGCTAAAGACCTGGGGTTTACTGGAGCCAGTGAAGTCAGAAAGATTACACTAACATCTGATACACAAGTATTTGTAAGATTTATAGAGTTCCAGTTTCAGCCAAGATCTCATCTGTATAAGCCTGCTCCTCCCCAGAGTGGGATTTTCTTCCTAATCCTGACCAAAACTGTCCTAATTCTACTTATTAATAGGGCTAAAGAAACTCAGTTGCTGTGCTTCAACCCATAAGCTCACTGGCTGGGGGCCAGCCACCTCCATCCTGGGAAGATTCCACATTGTATGTAAAGCATAGGAAAGAGCTTTCCCTAAAGTTCCCAGGGTTGGGAACCACAATGGTACAGTGAACGAACACAGCCATATTAGCTATCTTCGAGAGCAATCCAAGCTGAAAAAGCTGCAGGGATATGCTTGAGAGTCACTTAACTTCATAGAAATGGAAAATCAGCGCTGAGAGGACTGCAGCCATGCCCTGACTTCAGAAGTGCAACAGCACTGAAATGAAGTCACAGATGCTTGAATCGTGATCAGCCCTGTCTTCATCTAGGGACCAAATCTGCAATGTGCCAGACCTCTGCACACATCTGTTAACCAGAGACATGCTTTGGCACTGAGCTGCTTTCAGAGTGCCTCAGCACACTCCTTGAGCATTAGGATCACTGATGCACTGTGATGCCAGCACCATGCCTGGTTTGGTGTTACCAGTATGAGACTGAGATGTGCTGGGACAGGGACTGGGTGGAGGTGACAGAGAGAGTGGGGCAGCTGGCACAGGAGGGGAGACTGGGAGAGGAAGAATAGATCAGCCACAACCAGCCTGTACACCAGTGGGGATAGAGAGAAGAACCCAGCCCCTTCTCAGTGGGTCACAAACCAAACCACAGCAAATTCCACTCAAACACTTTGTATAGCGTGAGGCTGAACAGACTGCAGGATTTGGACTGGATGGACTCCAGAGCTCCCTTCCAGTTCTGTGACTTCCACCCCTAAAGATCTCCAGACCGAACAGGAGTCTGGCCCAGCAGTCTGCTCTGCTGACCCTGGAGAAGCCACTTCTCCACAGGAGCCAGCTGCCTCCTCACTCCCTGTAGACAGGAAGAGCTCCCTCCCACCAAATCCTGAGAGCTCTATCTTCCCAGAATCTGTCCTTCCCTTTACCCAGGCTATACCTACACATAATTCCTCCTTCAGCTCTCCCCAGCTCCAGATGACAGCAGACAGTACAGCAGAGCTCTCCCCACAGTCACAGTGGCTCGGAGAATATCATTTTGCACTGTAGAATTTAAAGCTGATTTGTTTTTTGCTAAATGACAGAAGCCTGGCAGGCAGTGGAGATGAGAGCTGCTTCCAGAAGGGATCACTCCTCATGAGGTATTCCAGCCAAGCATCATCCTTACAGCTCGTTCCTACATTACAGCTGAAGTTGCTTTGCAATCATTTACACCCTTGAGAGTGAGAGTTCTCGCAGCAGAAAGGGATTTCTGAGCAAGGAAACATTGTGCATTGAGTACCACCCACACCACTGATCCCATCACACTGCACACAGCTCATAGGCAGCACAGTCCTGGGGAGGACCAAGAGCCACATTTCCTTCCCCGCACAGAGCACTGAGCACAACCCTTCTGATTTAACCCCATATTAAGCACTCTGGGTAATTAAAGGGAAAACTATGACAGGCCCCAACTCCTCCAGCATCCCACAGCTTCCAGCTGGAAGCTCTGCTGCCACCTCCCGAGGCCCCACTTACTGCAGCATCCCCAGCTGAGACAGCACCAAAAATAGTGCATTCCCCCACACTTATGTCACCAGAACCGCAGGAAAGATTCACTCTTCACACAGAGACTCAGGCTTTGATTCCCCTACATAAATAACACCATAAAACGGGTCTGAGCAGCAAGGAAAGAAACAAAGACGTAAACCGATAAGGTGGAGCAGCACTTCCACCTCACAATGACGACACGGAAGGCCCAAAGGAGCGGCCCAGCCGCCTGTGCGGGCCGCACCCCCAGCCCCGTTCTCACCTTTTTGCCTTTCTTGCCCTCCTCCTCCATGGCTCCGGGAGCGGCGGCTGCAACGGCGGCCCCGGCCCCCTCCGGGGCATCCCCGCAGCGGCCCTGGGGCGGCGGGGTGAGGCTGCGCGGGGCCGGGAGGCGGCAGAGTGACTCCGGGAGGCGGTTGGATCCTGGGCCGCCTCAGCGCCGCCGACCACTTTTCAATCCTGCCGCCATCTTGGGCGGCGGCTTCCCGGCGTGCCCCGCGCGGCGCTCGGAGGACTGACGTCAGTCCTCCTCCTGAGGGGAGGTACTGCGCATGCGTGACTCGGCCCCGCGCTCACCCCACCGCTTATCTGCATAACCACGCCCTTTCAGGTGTTGATCCCGCCCGGCGCATGCGCGCTGTCTGCTTCCCGCCTCTCACCGCAAGGGGGCGCTGCCGCCGCCGCGAGGAGTGTGACGTCATTCACTGGCGACGGCTCTCTCAGGCATGGCGGTGGTGGCAGGTAGGTGTGCGGTGTGGTGCCGTCTGTCGGCATCCACCGCCATCCGCGGTCTGGGGGGTGTGGGGGGCGCGGTGGAGGTGTAGAGAGGTGGATTTCTCCGAACGGTCCTCACCACAGTCAGCTGGGGTGTGATATGCGTTAGGAAGGGCGGGCTTGGGCTGTCTGGGCCTGCACCTGGGTGCGTTCTTAGGCCTGGTCCTGGGGACCACGGCCTGGTGGGTCAGCCGTGCCCGAGGGGTGATGCGGCTGTATCCATGCGCGTGCGAGGGAGCCCACAGGGATCCCAAGGCGGCACTGAATGTCTGCATGATTGTTACTGGTCGCTAAGCGATCCCAGTCCTTAGAGAAAGCAGGTGTGCCTTAGTGCTGCTCCTCCTGACTCACGCTTTTTTCTCCCCACAGCATCCACCGCTTCTTCCCTTTTGTTTCCTGTGCTGCGTGCCTCGGCCCTAAAGGTATGAAAGGGGAATGTTTGAACACCTGCCTTCAGCTGTGCCCCGCAAGGCTTCCAGCATGGTGGGGCCTGCTGTGGCCCCATCCATTCCTGCAGCGCTTGCCAGAGCAGCCCTGGGGTGGTTTGAGGCCTCCTTCTGCCTCTCAGGGGGAGGCTATAGAAACTCCATACACTTTATCCCCCTTCTCCTGCTTCTCTACTGGACTTTCAGAGCTGCTTTTTCCTTCCTCAGTTCTTCTATTTTGTAACAGCACGATTCTTCTCAGCTTGCAGTTCCCCTGTCTGATGGTCGAGATGGGCACCTGATGCTGCAGGGAGCAGACAGGTATGTTCACTGGGTGGCTCTGCAGGGCTTTTTTCATTTTGGCACAATTAGTCATGCTTGGCATAATCAGGTAGCTTCAGTGCCTTGTTTCCTCTTTGACCTTCATGAGTGAGTCCCTCAGGGCTGAGAGCTGCAGCACGGGGATGCAGCTGGGCTACTTCCTTTCCTGCAGCTAACGGGGCGGTGCTGTGGTGAGGCCATGTGCTCTGAAGCTCTTCTTCGTTTCTTGCAGTGTCACTCACTTCCTGCTCTGCCTGTTCCGTTGCTAGGTGCAGTGAGTGCAGATGGCTGCAGGGCTTCCCCTCAGCCCTTCTCCAGCAAGGCTTACTCACCACACACTTCAGGTCTCATTGCCACAAACTTCCCAGCATAAAATGGCTATTCCTGCAGCTCAAGATCTTCAGGGCCCTCCCCTACACCTCAGGGAGGCCATTAGGATTGTGGACCCTCAGGGCAGCACTCACCCTGCCTGCTCTCTGCTGGGGTTTTGCCTTCTCCCTCAACTCCCTGATACTTCTGCCACAGGTCTTTAAATCCTGGTTGAAAGGAGTGCTACCTGTGATGGCTCCAGTCCTGTCTTGTGGTTTCTACCGGACCCCACAGAGCTGCCTGCAACTGCCACTCAGTTCTTTGTGCTGAAGCCATGAAGCTGCATCTGAAGCTGCATTGGAAGAAATCTGAGCCCACGGGTGGTGCTCTGCTGGATCCCATGAAGGTAAGACAAGCCTAGGGGCTTCCTCAGTGCTTGCAGATCCCTCTACAAATAGGGTATACACCAGAGACAAGAGTGAAAGCCACCTGAGTGGTGCTGCGGGGCAGTGAAACTTACTTGTTTCTGTGATTAATGCAGCTCTTTGTGCTTTATCTTCAGGTGAAACAGTGCTGAGTGCCCAGCATGAAGTGTGCGACCCCACTGCAGCTGGGAACCCTGGGTGAACAGCCACAACTGGAGGTCCCCAACTTGCCTGTGTGCTCTGCGGTGAGGAGCTGCTCAGCGCAGGATGGGCCCACAAGCAGTTTCCTGAGGAAGAGGAGAGGATTTGGGTGCATTTCCTCACCCTTGGAACAGGGCTCAGCAGTGAGGGCTCCTGCTCTCTGGAGCACCCAGTGCTGATGAGGAGTGATGACTGCATACTGATACTTTGGGGGTACATTTGCTTGTGTTTACTGCTGTACAAGCACTTGTCACATCAATAAATACAGATCTTTGGTATTTTCACAGCTGTAGGCTTCTTTTGTTCCTCCTGGGTAGGGAAACATGGGCTTGAGGCTGTCCCCAAGCATCTGTGCTGCTGCACCTCATGGGGTTTCTGTGAGCCCCTCAGCACCGCAGTGCTGTGCCTTGAGGGCTGGTGGTGGGAAAGGTGCATCCCATGGAGAGGACATTGGGATTTGGTGCCAGTGAGGCAGGGATATGTCCTCAGAGGACCTGCCCTGGGCTCCACCCATGAGCTCTGGTCCTTACTGGGCTCTGTGCTCAGGGCGTGGTGTCAGCAGTTCACTCTGGCTGCACCATGCTCAGCATCCTGAGCAGCACCGTGTTTGGTGCACAGTGGCTGTCACAACTGTCACTATACTGTCTCATCTGCCGCTGTGTGGGTGGAGGCGCCGACCCACAGACTTGCAGCTTTCAGGGTGCTGCGGTGTGGGGCCGGATGCATCCGGGCGCCAGAATGACTAACACTGCTGCAAGCACAGCGCTGTGTGCGTCCCTGGCTCGTGTGCCATGCACCCGTGGATGAACCCAATGGTTGGATCTCACTGTGGGCACATGGAGGTGCAGACCCTCCTCCGTAGGACTGGTGCCTAAGTGCTTTGGAGCGTGGGGACAAATCCCCACCCTGCCCTTCTGTGTGTCTCCTGCTCTGTCACCACCAGGCTGTTCCCCATGGGAGGTGACAGTAGGGCTGGGCCCCGCGTCCCACGCGCCTGCGCCGCTGCTTGGGCGGGCAGAGGTGCAGGAAGCAGCACGGAGGGGGGAAGTGGGTGCCTGTGGGTGGTGGGCGCAGCATGGCGGAGCTGGAGGGCCCCGAGTTTGGCAAGGCTGACTTCGTCCTGCTGGATGAGGTCACCATGGAGCACTTCATGGAGAACCTGCGCCTGCGGTACGGGGTTGCAGGGCGAGGCAGGATGGGTGAGGTCGGGATGGGCGAGGCCAGGGCGGGGTGGTGCAGCCAGGATGCAGTGCTCAGCATCATGGTGACAGGGATACCACCAGCCCTGGGGACACTAAATCCTTTGTGTAGGTCAGGGAATGGTCCTGGGGTGCAAACCCTGACCCAAAAGGAAATGTCTGTGCTGGGCAGTACCCTGCTGCTGGCTGAGGGAAAGGGAGGCACTGCCCTGGAGTTGCGTGGGGGGTGACTGGGTGGGCATGGGGGTTGTGTGTGCATGACTGTGCACAACAGTGTGCATGTGTGTGTCTGTCCTGGTGCGTGTGCCACCCTGGTGCCCTGCACTTCCTGCTTGCACCCATGGGTGCTGCCTACAGGAAGAGCTGCTCTACTTGTGCCCTCTATAGCCCCACAGCTTGAAGCACGAAGATACACCTTATCCCACTGCCACCCTTGTGTGCAGGTTCTCAAAGGGCCGTATCTACACCTACATCGGGGAGGTGGTGGTGGCCGTGAACCCATACCGGGCTCTGGAGCTGTATGGCCCCTCTGCGGTGGAGCAGTACCGGGGCCGTGAGCTCTACGAGCGCCCGCCGCACCTCTTCGCATTGGCTGATGCTGCCTACAAGGCCATGAAGCGCCGTGCCAAGGATACCTGCATTGTCATCTCAGGTAGGGGACAAGTGAAGGGCACCCCTGGAAGCAGAGTGCCAGTGGGTGCACACCTTGCCCGCTTCCTGCCTCTGCCAGGTGAGAGCGGGGCTGGCAAGACGGAGGCCAGCAAGTACATCATGCAGTACATCGCAGCCATCACCAATCCAACGCAGCGCGCTGAGGTGGAGAGGTGGGTCCAACCCAATGGAGAATTGGGTGGTTGGGCACAGATCTGTCATTCGGGGTGGCTCTGGGGGGGCATCTTGCCCATAGGGGATGATCTGGGGACATGGACATAGAGGTGTTGCGTCCCACATCCATTGACTTCAGAGCTGGGGTGCTGCGCTGTGCTGTGCCACACATTCATGCCATGGCATACCTTCATGCCATGGCACACCATGCTGTGCTGGGCAGGGTGAAGAATGTGCTGTTGAAGTCCAACTGCGTCCTGGAGGCCTTTGGCAACGCCAAGACCAACCGCAATGACAACTCAAGCCGCTTCGGCAAGTACATGGACATCAACTTTGACTTCAAGGGAGACCCCACTGGTGGCCACATCTACAATTACCTCCTGGAGAAGGTACAGGGGGCGTGGGGTGTGAGGGCATTGCTGCGTGGGGGCTGGCCCATGGCACTGCCTGACACCCACCCACTGCCACCTCTTCCAGTCCCGAGTCCTCCAGCAACAGCCAGGAGAGAGGAACTTCCACTCCTTCTACCAGGTGGGCAGGGGTGGTATGGGATGGGTTGCAGTGGGGTGGGATGGAATGGGATGGATTGCAGTAGAATGGGATGTGTTGTGATGGGATGGAATAAGTTGCAGTGGGGTGGGATAGGGTGTGATGGGTTGGGATAGGTAGGATAAGAGGGGATGGATGGGTTGGGAACAGGATGTGTGGAATCTATGGGATGGGACATGATGGATGGGATGAGAATGAATGGGATGGGGTGGGATAAAGTACAGAATGGCAACCAAATGGGGTAGGTTGGGATGTTCCAGGGGACACTTGGCCAGCTGATATGGAACAAGGAGTCCTGGTGCCCAGGGCAGGGTGCTGACATCCTCCTGTTCCATAGCTGCTTCTGGGAGCCCCCGAGACACTGCTGGCCTCACTGCACCTCCAGCGGGATCCCAGTGCGTACTGCTACACCCAACAGGGCACCCAGGGCAGCGTGAGTGGGGCAGGGATGGCTGGGGGGTGGGGGTTCTGGGGGTCCCGTCCCTCACCTGCCTCCCCCAGGCTGACAGTGATGATGCGCGTGGCTACCGGGCGGTGGAGGAGGCGATGGCAGTCATTGGCTTCACCCCAGAGGAAGTGGGCGCCGTGCGACGCATCCTGGCAGCCATTCTGCACCTGGTGAGAGTTCCACGGAAGCCTCATGGGCACCAGTATGACCCCACCAGTATGGCCATAGGCAGACCTGAACAGCCCCAGCCACACCAATATGGCCCCACCAATATGTTCCCATGCAGACCAGTATGGCTCCACGCAGGCCAATATGGCACCACATAATCCAGTATGGCTCCACCAGTATTACCACAGGCAGACCAGTATAGCTCTGGGCACCAGTATGGTTCCATGCAACCCAGCACTAGTAGCCCCACAGAAGCCAGTACAGCCCCATACACTGCAGCACAGCCCAAAGCAAACCAGTACAGCCCAGTAAAAGCCAATATAACCTGGTGGTGAAGCAGCACAACTCAACACAATTCATCACGGCCCAGCACAGCCCAATGCAAACTAGTACGGCTCAAAGCAAACCAGTATGACCCCATATGTCTGAGCCCACCCAAAGCAATGCCAGGACACCTTGAGTGTGATTTGGGACCCCAACCCATAGCAGGGCTGCTGATCCATCCCCTGTCGTAAGGCACGGTGCCATCCCCATCCCCTGCAATCACTACGATGTCCCCAGGGCAACGTGCAGTTCGTGGCAGACGGTGAGGTGGCGGTGCTGGAGGCAGTGGAGCAGCTGGCTGTGCTGGCCCAGCTGACAGGAACAACACCGGAGCAGCTCCGCCAGGCACTGCTGGCCCGCACTGTGGCCACGGGAGGTGGGGAGCTCATCACGAAGGGTCACAGCCCCACCGAGGCCGCCTATGGCAGGGATGCCTGTGCCAAGGTGAGGAGAAGGCAACGGAGTCCCACCATCCCACACCATGTCCCCGAGGTGACCATGGTTCCCCTGTCCCCAGGCCATCTATGAGCGGCTATTTGGATGGATTGTAGGGCGCATCAATGCCAGCATCACCGCACGTGGCTACGATGTCCGGCAGCATGGCAAGAGCACCGTCATTGGAGTCCTTGACATCTATGGCTTCGAGATCTTTGATACCAACAGGTGACACGGGCCCCACGCTGGAAGGGGATGGGGAATGGGGACACGTGATGGGGATGGAGGTACAGGTGGTAGGATGGAATGTATATGTAAAGAAGATATGGGATGGGAAAGGCACATGGAGATGAGACTTGGAGGGGACGTGAGAGGACTGGGGATGGGTTGGATGTGGTTGAGACAAGGGGACACCTGGGATGGGCATGTGGAGGGGACAGGGCATAGGAGTAACACATGGAGGAGATGGCTTGGGAAGGACGCATAGAAGGGATGGGACTCAGGAGAGACCCATGGAGGGGACAAGATGGGATCCAAGAGGAACAAGTGGAGAAGACAGGGGGACACCTGGGAGGGACATATGGAAGGAACAGAGTTTGGGAGGGACATATGGAAGATGTGGATGGGAAGGACATGTGACAGGGATGGGGACATGTGGATGGGACAGAGCTTGGAAGGGATGTGTGGAAGGGATTGGGGATAGAAAAGACGTGGGGAAGAGAGAGGGACACCTGGGAGAGACACAAGGAGATGGCTTGGGAAGGAAATATAGAGGGGATGGGATTCAGGAGTGACACATGGAGGGGACAAGGCTTGGGAGGCACAACTGGAGGGGATGATGTGAGAAGCACATATGGAAAGATGGGACCAGAGTGGCATGGTGGCCAGGGAGCATGGTGTGGGGCCAGGTGACAGTGGCCAACCTGAACCCTGGCCCCAGCTTTGAACAGTTCTGCATCAACTACTGCAACGAGAAGCTGCAGCAGCTTTTCATCGAGCTCATCCTGAGGCAGGAGCAGGCGGAGTACCAGCGCGAGGGCATCACCTGGCAGAACGTGAGGAGGAAATGGGGATACGGCAAAGACATGGGAGGGACCTGGGGGGACACAGGTGTCATCACCTGACACAGCATGAGGGGCACATAGGAAACACGAGGGGACATGGGGAACACCTTCTGGCAGGGTGAAATTTGAGGTGCCAGGGGGCAAATGAGGGTGCATGGGGGGCAACCTGGGGTGCCTCCTGCCCTCCTAGATTGAGTACTTCAGCAACGAGCCTATCGTGGAGCTGGTGGAGCAGCCACACCGTGGCATCCTGGCGCTGCTGGATGAGGCCTGC